GAGAGAGAGAGAGAGAGAGAGAGAGAGAGAGAGAGAGAGAGAGAGAGCAAACAAATAACTCCTTATAATTTATTGGAAAACCCCTGTGGGTTTTCCGAGAGGCCCCTGCAGATGATTAGCAAGGGCCGTCTCACCATGAACTCAGTAATGCTCATAGCCATGTGAAGGTCATGGCAGGCCAAGTATATATGCTGTTGATTCACATTAAGGTCCGTGTTTCAGCAGTTATGGGACCACTGTGCACGCGAGTTTCTGGGCAGTAGCAGGCCAACTCACCATGTACTTTTCAGGGCTTCCCTCCATTACTCACCAAATGTGCAAAACCAGAATGAATCTTCTGCTAGAACATGGAATCATACGCCGCGATATGTTTTGTCTTTTGTGCAAGTGCTGACGAGTGGAGCTAGGCCCTTAGGGCCACTGCTCGTAGGAAAAGGAAAACAAAAGAAAGCTCAAAAAAAAAAAAAGAAAAAAAAAGAAGAGGGCTTCCCTCCATTACTCCCCAAATGTGCAAAACTCGAATGAATCTTCTGGTAGAACATGGAATCATACACTGTCATATGTTTTGTCTTTTGTGCAAGTGCTGACAAAGCACTGGAATGAATATTCTGCTAGAACATGGAATCACACGCTGTCATATGTTTTATCTTTTGTGCAAGTGCTGAGGAGTGGAGCTAGGCCCTTAGGGCCACCACTCGTAGGAAAAGGAAAACAAAAGAAAGACAGAGCTACAGTAGTAACTACTAGTAAGTAGTTGTAGCCCATAACTGCTGGAACACAGACCTGACTTCGGATCCAGAAGATATATTGCTGGCCTGCTCCTCTCTCGTCTGAAAATTGACGAATGTCCTTGGTGGGACACAGGAGCCCCGCAGATTCTGGGTTGGGGGCCCTTCAGAAGAAGAGAAATTAATTTCAATGAGGAATAGGTGGAAGGAGGAGGAGGAGGAAGAAAAGAAAGGGAGAAAGGAGGAGGAGGAGCAAGAGGAGAAAAAGAACAAATAAAGGAGGAG